TATATACTTCGATAAATTGTGAAAAACAAAATGCCAGATGTGCCTTTGATGTAAATTTTTGTGACTTATCTGGGTTGAAGCATAATGTTTATCTATGGATTCATTCATATCAGTTGAGCTCTTATCAACTTGTGCCATTTCATAGCAATATCATTCACAACAATGCTCATAGCAATATCATTCACAACAATGTTAGTGGTAATTCACATCAGCAATAGATATGAGACACATTCAACTTAAATACATTCACACCTTATCATTCAGTTCTTGATGATCAAGACAAACATATTAAGCACAAGCACAAACAAGATACAAGCACATAGACACCACAACATTTTCACTAGACCACCAATTTCTCTAACTACTTCTACCACTAGTTCTATCTTTCTTCCCAATCCCTAAATTACTGTGTACATCCTTCGACTTTGAATTTGCAGTGTTAGGCATAGCTCCAACCTCTTTCTTAGTACATGTAACACCTTATTGTATTTATCCTTCTAGTAGAAAAAGGACATCCTTGTCCGTTGCGCTACAAAAATGACTAACGCCTCAAATCAAAATGACCACCTACGACAACTTCAAAACACCAAAGCAAACTCAAGTCTTGTAGACTCACCTTATGGGAGGACAATAGTAGGAGACTTAGTCTTTACTCCATGGTTGCTTCGATTTGTATCATACAACTTGCCACTTCCCACATTCAGTGCACATAATCAGTGGAAGACCATCACTACTACGTGGATCTATTACCAACACACTTGATTTGACAACCATGGTCGCGTATCTGGAGCAACCGCACCAATGGGAAGGGCTGCATACACATGGATGCCAGGGAGGGGGTTCAATGCAAAATTCTCAACCCTTTTAACGAGGTGCATACACATGGATGCCACCATGTTGGATCTTTTGCTCTCTCAAACAGGTACAGACGTACAATGCATAGCATAAATAGTTTAAGGAGCTAAAACTACACTTTGAAAGTTATGGACTTAAGCGACACGGGAGGAAAAGTTAATGGACCTGTGATGCATTTTGCTCTTTTCGATGATACAAGGTAGAGAGGAAGAATTGAGTGAGGAATATGCATTTGTTTTATAAGATGGGCCAAGGCGGAGGAGAAGAAGGATAGGTGGATTGGGAGGACTAAGGCATAGAGGGCCAATGTTGCTAATTACATAGAGGGTGTTGATGCTAGACGATAGAAATAAATCAAGCAGGCAATGCTGATCAGATTGCGAACCATATGTGTAATATGAGTGGACCAGCATGCTAAGCTCTTATTCATTTCCAATTATGTGGTGCATCTAAACAGGAAGCAAACAAATTTGACCCAAACACCCTGTGGCACTGCACGTTTCTACTCCGTACTCGCCTACGAAAAGTGAGATTTCAACTAGGGCCTTGTTTAGATTGCAAATTTTTGCAACCTGGACACTGTAGCACGTTTCGTTTGTATTTGACAAACTTTGTCCGATCATGGACTAACTAGGCTCAAAAGATCCGTCTCGTGATTTATAACCAAACTGTGTAATTAGTTATTTTTTTACCTACATTTAATGCTCCATGCATGCGTCCAAAAATTGATGTGATGGAGAGAGAGTGAAAAAACTTAGAATTTGGAGGTGATCTAAACAAGGCCTAGGATGGCTAAAAAGCTGCACAGGAGCCAGGTAGGGGTTTTCGTCCCTTCTCTGGAACTCTCTCGGTGCTACAGTTGAGAGAGGCAAAAAGGAGGCGATCTCGTTTCTGTGTGCTCCCGCCGGCGAGAACGTCTGTCCTCTCTACATCCAGTGGCTGCTTCGGCGTTGGATGTGAAGGGGATCGGTGCTTCTCTGCCGTGTGGTGTACATTAGGAGTATATCTAGGTTTGGGTGTCCGGCGGCGGCGGCGGTGACGTCATGGAATAAGGTCCTCTCGAGCTCTTCCCCGTCTCGGTGGTGCTCCACTCCAGCGCCGTCGGTGAGTTCGTGGAGGTGGTGTCCGGTTTTCGCTGGCCTCTGTATAGGAGTCTGTGTGGTCTGCCGTCATGTCGTCTCGGTGAGGCGGTGGTGCTAGCGGCGCGCTACGTCAACCAGACAGCGACAGTTGTGGGCTCTGCGGTTGGATGGAGGGTGGATCGAGCTCGAGTTTTCCTCGGCCCTAGTTGACGGCGAGCTTCGATTCAAGGTCAGAGGTGCTCGGGGTGTGTCCCCGGTGGATGTGTCTTCAACGATGGATTCAACTCAACCATGGTGTCGGGTGTCTTATGTGGCTCGTTTCAAAGCCTTCTGGCGATGGGGCTCCTCCAGATCTGGGTGGCATCGGGTGTCCTCGGCGCCAGAGATGGTCGGCGGCGGCGTTCGCCGACGCGGTTGCAGTGCAAGGAGGCCAGGGACTATCTTGTGATTTCCATTTTTTCTAGGGGCTTCTTTGCATTTTTGGTGGGACAACTGTCTCTGTATCCTGTATGTTCGTATCTGTATTTGTCTGAGCTGTTGTACGTTTTCTTTGTCTACTAATACAGATGCGTTTTATCAAAAAAAAAAAACTAGGATGGCTAAAACGCACGACGGCCCTTGGCTCGTGTCTGGTTTAGATATGTCACGTTGCTATGCTACGTGAAACTAAAAGGGGCCTAAAAAGTTGGGCGAAGTAAGTCTTTGGTAATTTTGTGCTGCTTAATAAAACTCTGGCCGCCTAAGGTTAAACATGACAAATTTATTTATAGACAAACCCGTTAACATAACATATTGGAAATCGTTGATAGCTAATAATTATGGGTATTTTTGTGTAGTAGCCCGATTTGAACTAACCAACTTGGAGCATGAAGATTAGGTTCACAGCTACTTGCATACTGTAGTGCAGATGCGCACTGTAATTGTAGGGACCTTTTTAGCAAGGTTTGCATCGGCTTTTGCTTTACCACTGTACTTGTACAATAGCGCATTGTAGCAAAAGCCGGTGAAGCTCCTAAATCCTAACTTCACTAACTTCTAGTGTATTTTGGGCCGGAGAGAAAAAAAAAGCTTATGGTACAATACTATACAATAATATTACAACACGCATGTCAGAAGAAGCCGAAGCTGAAGAAGCCATTGCCGAAGAGAGCTTAGGAGATGGTTAAGAGTTGGTTAATCAGGTCTCTGTTCTTGGGAAGGGTAGAGCGAAACTAGAATAACATTTCGTGCCTGATTCGATTAGTCCTTTGCGACTCCTATTCTAGACCTTTGTTAAATGGGTAAAGTACATTTTACAACCCTCAACTCGCGCTGAAGTTCGATTTTCAACCTTCAACTATAAAACCGGTCAAGAAACATCCTCTAATTATTAAAACCGGGTAAATTTGATCATCGGCCGGTTTCAAAAGCGGTTTTCTATTTTCAAGAGACGTCGAAATTTTAAATTATTTTTTTGAGCATCTTAACGTCCTTAAATGAAAAAACTCAAAACTACAAAGTTGTAGATCTAATTGAAAGCTACAACTTTGGTATAAAAAGTATTTTCATTTAACTCCATACAAATAATATATTAGTGCTCTAATGTGGCAAGCGCTAGCAGGCGATTATTATGGTGCTGAAATTTTATATTATTTTTTCGAGCATCTTACTGTTCTTAAATGAAAAAAATTAAAACTATAAAGTTGTAGATCTCATCGAGGTCTACAATTTACATATAAAAATTATCTTCATCCGACATCGTATTGAAGAGTTTTCTATTTTTTGAAATTTGAGTCTCGTCACGCGACAAAACTCAAATTTTTATAGTTTTGTCTATAAAAATTTTCACGCCATAGTATTGTTTTGTCGCGTGACAAGACTTAAATTTCAAAAAAATAGAAAACCCTTCAATACGATGTTGGATGAAAATAATTTTTATATGTAAATTGTAGACCTCGATGGAATCTACAACTTTATAGTTTTAATTTTTTTCATTTGAGAACAGTAAGATACTCGAAAAAATAATATAAAATTTCAGCACCATAATAATCGCCTGCTAGCGCTTGCCGCATTAGAGCACTAATATATTATTTGTATGGAGTTAAATGAAAATACCTTTTATACTAAAGTTGTAGCTTTTAATGAGATCTACAACTTTGTAGTATTGAGTTTTTTCATTTAAAGACGTTAAGATGCTCAAAAAATAATTTAAAATTTCGACGACTCCCGAAAATAGAAAACCGCTTTTAAAATCGGCGGAAAAAAAACTAATTGCACAGTTTAATTGAAAATCATGAGACAAACGTTTTGAACCTAATTAGTCTATGATTAAACATTAATTATTAAATAAAACAAAATACTACCGTAGTCAAATTCCCAACTCGCAAACATGCTCACCCATGCTTAGTCCTAGATCAGATCGTATCACGTTTGCAGTTCGCCGTGAGTACTTTTTATTATCTTCCACCAGGGCAAACAAAGCCTGTAGCACCGTTAGAATTAGAAAAGAAAAAAAGCCCGGGATAACTCGCTGGTGCCCGGGGACCATCGCCCTTCACACCCATCGCCCAGCATCCGTGCTCGGACGCAACCTGCCAAGTCAAGTCGTCTCACACTCACCACCTTCCTCGCAAACCACCGCAATCGTAGAGTCCCCAGGTCTGGTCATCGCGGCCACGTTTGCAGTGTGAGTTTTCTTGATTCCCTTCATCCTACGCCACCATCATCACTCACTGCTTGTCCACTATAGGTCTGTAGTCAGTCCCTGATTTCTGAGCTCAGACGCCTACCGATTTGTCCATTTCCTACAGACGCTGCCCAAAAATTCACTGATTCCTCCGCCTCTTCCGAGTTCCCCAGAATCCCCAGTTTGATGCTGCCCACCGATTGGATCTTGTTCGATTTCTCCGTTCTACAGATCCTGTGCGCATCCGCTCCAGGGAGTGGGCCTTGCTCGGCTTCCTTCCTCCCCCACCGATGCTCAAATCGTTCAGTCCGTATCGATTTTGAGTTCTTGCCCCTGCACGGCGTCAAAGTCTAGAGCTTCAATTTCCTGGCAAAGATTGGGGATTCCTGCTCGCGGCGATGGAATTCGTGGCGTCCATCGTCGACACGGTGTTCCGGCCGCTCAAGGACTACTTCGCGCGGACCGTCGGCTACGTCATGTCCTGCGGCGACTACATCGACGCGCTGGGCCACGAGATGAACGAGCTCAAGAGCAAGCGCGACGACGTCAAGCGCATGGTCGACGCCGCCGAGCGCCAGGGCATGGAGGCCACCAGCCAGGTCAAGTGGTGGCTCGAGTGCGTCGCCCTGCTCGAGGACGCCGCCGCGCGGATCGCCGACGAGTACCAGGCGCGCCTGCAGCTCCCGCCCGACCAGGCCCCCGGCTACAAGGCCACCTACCACCTCAGCAAGAAGGCCGACGAGGCTCGCGACGAGGCCGCGGGCCTCAAGGAGAAGGCCGACTTCCACAAGGTCGCCGACGAGCTCGTGCAGGTCCGCTTCGAGGAGATGCCCAGCGCGCCGGTCCTCGGCAGGGATGCGCTGCTCCAGGAGCTCCACACCTGCGTCCGGGACGGCGGCGTCGGCATCGTTGGCATCTACGGCATGGCGGGGGTCGGCAAGACCGCGCTGCTCAACAAGTTCAACAACGACTTCCTCATCAACTCCCATGACATCAATGTCGCCATCTACATCGAGGTCGGCAAGGACTTCGATCTCAACGACATCCAGAGGATCATCGGCGACCGCCTCGGCGTGTCGTGGGAGAACCGCACGCCCAAGGAGCGCGCCGGTGTGCTCTACAGGGTGCTCAGCAAGATGAACTTTGTGCTGCTGCTGGACGACGTTTGGGAGCCACTCAATTTCCGGATGATTGGCATCCCGGTGCCCAAGCACAACTCCAAGAGCAAGATCGTCTTGACGACGAGGATCGAGGATGTGTGCGACCGCATGGACGTCCGCCGCAAGCTCAAGATGGATTGTCTTCCCTGGGAGCCATCGTGGGAGCTCTTCCGTGAGAAGGTTGGCGACCACCTGATGAGTGCTAGCCCTGAGATCCGGCACCAAGGGCAGGCGCTGGCCATGAAGTGTGGCGGGCTGCCCCTCGCGCTCATCACTGTTGGCCGGGCGATGGCCAGCAAGCGTACTGCAAAAGAGTGGAAGCACGCCATCACTGTGCTAAAGATTGCCCCATGGCAGCTTCTTGGCATGGAGTTTGATGTTCTTGAGCCTCTCAAGAAGAGTTATGATAACCTGCCCAGTGACAAGCTAAGGCTCTGCCTGCTATATTGCTCACTGTTCCCAGAGGAGTTCTCTATTTCCAAGGATTGGATCATAGGCTACTGCATTGGTGAAGGTTTCATAGATGACTTGTATACTGAGATGGATGAAATATACAACAAGGGGCATGACCTTCTTGGTGATCTCAAGATTGCCTCTTTGCTGGAGAAAGGCGAAGATGAGGATCATATCAAGATGCATCCTATGGTCCGTGCCATGGCGCTGTGGATAGCATCGGATTTTGGCACCAAGGAGACCAGATGGCTTGTCCGTGCTGGAGTTGGGCTGAAGGAGGCACCAGGCGCAGAGAAATGGAACGATGCTGAGCGGATTTCTTTCATGCGGAACAACATTCTTGAGTTGTATGAGAAGCCTAATTGCCCCTTACTGAAGACTTTGATGCTACAAGGTAATCCTGGGTTGGACAAGATATGCGATGGCTTCTTCCAATACATGCCATCTCTCAGAGTGTTAGATCTGTCTCATACTTCTATCAGCGAATTACCTTCAGGGATCAATTCATTGGTTGAATTGCAGTACCTGGATTTGTATAACACAAACATCAGGTCACTTCCAAGGGAGCTAGGATCTCTATCAACTCTGCGGTTCTTGCTTCTCTCACATATGCCACTGGAAACGATCCCAGGTGGTGTTATATGCAGTCTCACAATGCTGCAAGTTCTGTACATGGATCTCAGCTACGGAGATTGGAAGGTTGGTGCAAGTGGAAATGGTGTTGATTTTCAGGAGCTTGAGAATCTGCGTAGGCTCAAGGCTCTGGACATCACAATACAATCTGTTGAGGCTCTGGAGCGGCTGTCACGGTCATATCGCCTTGCTGGTTCCACAAGAAACCTGCTGATAAAGACATGCTCCAGCCTGACAAAGATAGAGCTTCCTTCGAGCAACCTGTGGAAGAACATGACTAACCTGAAGAGAGTGTGGATTGTGAGCTGCAGCAACTTAGCTGAGGTAATCATTGATAGCAGCAAAGAAGCTGTTAATAGCAATGCGCTCCCCCGTTCCATCCTGCAAGCTCGGGCTGAACTTGTTGATGAAGACCAGCCCATCCTTCCAACCCTGCATGATATCATCCTTCAGGGACTACATAAGGTAAAGATCATCTACAGAGACGGTTGTGTACAGAATCTAGCATCATTGTTCATCTGGTATTGCCATGGCCTGGAAGAGCTGATTACTGTCAGTGAAGAGCAAGACATGGCGGCAAGCGGCGGTGGACAAGGTTCAACAGCATTTAGAGTCATCACACCCTTCCCCAACCTCAATGAACTGTATCTCCATGGCTTGGCAAAGTTCAGGAGGCTGAGCAGCAGTACATGTACACTGCACTTCCCGGCGCTGGAGAGCCTGAAAATTATCGAGTGCCCGAATTTGAAGAAGCTGAAACTTTCTGCTGGAGGACTTAATGTGATACAATGCACCAGGGAATGGTGGGATGGGCTGGAGTGGGATGATGAGGAAGTCAAAGCTTCTTATGATCCATTGTTCCGCCCATTGCACTGAATTCAGTTTTGGTTGCTAGAGATTCTGTTATTTTAGAGATTGCTGGTACCCATGGATACAATAGACCGCGTGAATTCAGATATTGCTAGTCTGCAGTGGGTGTAATCTTTTCTTATTTGATCGTTTGTGTAGTTCAGGATTTCTGGGCTGTGTTGTTCATCTTGTAAGTACAAGTTGGGCGATTCACGTCCTGTTCGCTTGGCTTATAAGCTGTACTTTTTCAGCCAATAAATATTATTTTTCTCTTACAACAAATCAGCCAACAGTACTTTTAGCCATGGTTTATCAGCCAAGCGAACAATATTTTTTTGTACAGCCCGTGTTCTACAGAATGATTAATTAATTATCATGTGTGGCAGCCAGGAAACTAGCAAATGTAACTATCGAGTTCTCCAAAACAGTATCACTGGTGGATACCGGTACAACCATTTTCCCTAATTCTCTGTTTCTGCTTTCTATGAGAAATGAGTTGAGGGTGCCATTGCTTTTCCTGGTATGAGCTGAAAGGGAAGGTCCCCAGCTGAGCAAACCAAAAAAGCTCAGCTAGTCTGATATTGATCCCCAAAGTCCTGAGTAGGACAAAACTAGGCTCAGTACAGCAAAATGCATCAAACAAACACAGCAAAAATGACTGGCCGCCCATAGTCCCAGATTGCACAGATAAGGTTTGACTTTGGACCTCGCAAAAAGAAGGTTTGACCGTTTGACCTGTTCAAAAGAAACTCGGCCCAGTGAGCGCATACGAATAGGCCGAATGGTCGGTCTCTCGGTTTGGTGGGCCTGGACGGAACAGGACCCCAATTTGTCGCCATCACCATTTCATGATCCGGCCTGGTAATATGCTTTTTGGATGGGTAGCCTGGTAATAATATTTCATGGATGAGTGGCCTGGTAATATATTTCATATTTTCATACTCCTAGTTTAGTATAGTACTACCTTTGTCAAAAACAAATACTAGTGCCCGGATGTTCGGACGGTTGCGTGCGTCCGAACGTCCAGGCCTGCTCCGACTTGGTCGCTCGTCCCACGCATGCAGTCCATTTTCTCGCGCTGTTTCGCTCGCCCACACATGGCCCGTGCCGCCCCGAGCGTCACCAGCATCGAGAAAGAGGGGAGGGGGCGGCGGATGCCCATACGACGCCGAGAGGAGGAGGAGACACCGAGGCGAGGCAGTAGAATAGCATGGAAGGAGATGCAACATCCGATCTACTTTTGAAACATTCAGATGCAACACTTGCAACATACGTTTGAAGGCAGATAAAGCACTTGAAATATGCATCTGAAACACCCACAAAAACACCTGAAAACCATGTAAAACATACACAACATTCAAATAAAACACTTGCAACATATGTGAGAAACATATGCAACATCCGAATAAACACACTTGCAACATACGTCTTGAAAAACAATTGAAACATTGGGAATAAAAACTTGCAACATACATGTACAACCATTGCAACATATGCAGCATCCCGATCTACTTTTGTAACATCCACATGAAACACTTGATACACCTAGATGAAACATCTGAAACACTTGAAACATACTCTTGCAACATGCGTTTTTCAGCGTGCAATGCCACCTTGCTGCTTGGACGAATCACGAAGCTCGACACCGGCATGGAGGTCGGCGACGGCACATGGAGCTTGCCGGTGCGCCCTTGGGCGAGGACCTGCTCGGCGGCCTGGGTGAGCACCTGTGCGAGGTGCGCGAGCACCTACTCCACGGCTAAGCAGGCAGATGTCGCGGTGCAGGCGAGCGGCGCAGTGGAGCGTGGAGTGGGGAAGGCGGACGGCGCGGTGTAGTCGGGCGCGGAGGTCCCATGGAACCGTAGATAAGGCCGCGAAGGTGGAGGCCGAGCGCGTAGAGAGATTTTTTTTGAAGGGGTGCGGACGAGAGCAAGCGGGCGGATAAGGCAGCCAGTGGGGAAGCAGTGTACGTCCGTCCCCGCCCGCACGAGAGCATTAGCAAAAAAAATCTAGATCCGATTAATGTTAAACTATTTTAAGCTTATTTAACGGAAATGGTATCAACATGTAAATATATTTCACAACAAATCTAATAAGAACTTATTTAATATGATAGGTGGATCTAACACGATTCTAAAATTGCATACTTTCTGGGAGGGAGGGACCAGGGAGTATTACACCCTGTTTGCTTGATCGTATCAACCATGCTTATCAGCTATGATACAGTGTTTTTCTCTCACAACAAAACAACATCAGCCGGCTTATAAGCCACATAAACGATCAAGCGAACATGGTGTTAATTTGCAACTCAACAAAGTTTGAAAAAACAGTCACTGGTCATTAGTATTCCACAGCACAAATATGCCAGGTACTGACACTGACAGAACAGGCCCCGTTACTGAATTCTACAAGCGCATTAAGGATTGACGAATCAGAGTCCCTCAATGTAGGGCACGCCGGTGCCGTTGAGCCAGCTGCCACCCTGAATGAACTGGCCGACGGTGAACTGCACGGCCAGGCTCCTGTCCGTGATGACGTGGTAGCCGGGCCACTTGACCCGGCCGGCGGTGGCGGCGCCGGGCCCCTCGTTCTGGTACTCCCCGTAGAAGAGCGTCTTGAGCGCGAAGTCCCCGTCCCACTCGAGCCACCCCCTGGGGTCGACGTGCGCGTCCAGGTACGACAGCATGACGACCGTCCGCGAGTAGGCCTTCCACGGGCGGCCCAGGAACGTCGGGAAGTCCGACCCGGCCACGGGCGCCGGCACGACGCGGCACCTGTGGAGGGACGTGCCCGTGTTCTGGTTGGGGTCCTCCCGTCCCTGCGCGGTGACCGCGTTCTGCTGGCCCCGCAGCGGCAGGCGCGCCGCCAGCGCGCAGCCCTGGAGCACGGCGGCCGCGTTGCCGAAGACGAAGTCGACGGTGCCGGACACGAAGCACTCGCGGTACAGGTGGCGGAGCGCGTGCGCGTACAGGGTGTCCTGGTACCCGTCGACGCGGCAGCGGTAGGCGACGGCGCGGTCGGCGCTCACGCGCAGCGCCACCGCCTGGTGCTTCGCTGGCCCCGCCGTGTTCTCCACCCGCAGGTCCTGCAGGATGATCCCGTCTCCCGCCACGGCTGCACGCATCACAGTAAAAAATGTCAGCGTCGAGAAAAGCGTAGGTTTTTCTTGTCACGGTTTCGTGCCCGGTTGTTTTCGGCCGGCTCCGGATCTGGACTGGCTGCCATCTGCCATCTGCGTTAGCAGCTGCTCGTACATTTAGGCATTATTTAGATGCATATATATTCGTCTTAGTCCACGTGTGTTTAAAAGAATTAAAATAAAATTAAACTAAATTATATTCCATTAGCATATGGCACGTGCATCCAACCAGGCACAGCGGGGAATCCCGAGTGGAGTGCACAACGAATGCAATTGTGGTATTCCGTGCTATCTTTATGCTCATCTTTGCTACCAAACCCAACCACTAAGCCAGAGACGCATGAACGTGTGCAGTCTGCACTGTACACTCTGCAGTGTAAGGCATGGACCATGGAGGAATTACAAAGCTAATTAAGGTATTATAAAGGAGAGGCAGGACAGTGCCGGGGTGCATCACCTAGGGTGGCCGAGTTGAAAGTCGTGGCGCCGTCGACCACGTTGCGGCTCCCGGTGATCACCGTCGCATCCATGCCGTCGCCGACGATCATCAGCTCGCGCTTCTTCTTCCCCACCTCGACGTTCTCCTTGTACACCCCTTTCTTCACGTAGATCACGTACCGGCTCTTGCCGCCGTCGGGCGCCGCGTCCACCGCCTCTTTCACCGTCCTGAACTTGCCGCTCCCGTCCTGGGCCACCACGACGTCGGCCTTGATGGCGCCGCCACTCGCGCCCGCGCCCGCTTCAAGGAGAGCGCGGTCTCGCGCCGGCACCCACGAGGGGAACGTGTACGTGTGGGCGACCTCGGCGTCCCGGGAGCCCGAGTCGTCGACGACGGCGCTGAGCACGGCGAGCGACGCGCTCGCGAGGGACTTGAGTGGCTCCAGCTGCGCCCCTACGGCGTCGCGCAGCGGCCCGTCGACGACGACGCCGTCCGTGCACGTCGCGTAGTAGGTAAGCGCGGCGCTGAGCCACGTCCGCGCGTCGTCCGCTGGGGCCGCGGCCACGGCTAGCGAGGCGTCGGCGAGGCGGTCCCGCGCGAGGTCCATGATCTGGACGCAGTCCGCGAGCGCCGCGCGCTGCCTCGGGTCGCTACCGGCGTGCCGGTGCATGCCGGAAACCGCGGCGGCGGCCGCGTCATGCTGCACAAGAGACCTGGCAACGATCGCGCGGAGGGCCTGCGCGGGGCGGGTAGGGTGCGCTCGTGGAGACGCTAGCACGGCGTCGGCCACTATGGCGTGGCACGAGGTTGGGTCCGGGGAGCTGGCGCAGAGGTCCGGAGTGGAGAGGTTGAGGAGGAGGAACGCTGCTCCGGCGCAAAGCAGAGTGGCCGATGACAGCGTGATCAGCAAGACGGGCCTTCTTGGAGAAGCGTTTCTTTGGTAGGGCGAGGAGAGGAGAGGCTCATTGCTAGTAAGCATGGTGACTGGTGTACTGGCTAGGGAAGACACACCGCAGCTGGGGTTCTATAGGTAGAAGATGACAAGGAGGGAGGATGACTGGACAAGGTTCATAAGTCCTCGAACATAGTGCTTCAAACTTCCAATACAGTATTGCATATGTATGGCAAAATAACCATTGACTATCACGGCTAGCTGGCTGTAAGACTTACAATCGGGCACATGGTTTTCAACCAATAGCACATGGTCTTTGGAATTTGAATAGTGGGGTTGGTGAAATAGTTGTTCTCATTATAGAAGGGCATGTCACTAGTACTTTCCTACGTGATTTTTTTTTCACATGTGTACAAGCGCAACCAAGAATTGTCATGAGTCATGACTGTTTATTTGTGCCGAGAACCGTGATGCAGTGCTGTAGGAGTAGATTGAAAGAATCATGGAGTACGCGAGAACAACCAATAATTCGATTTAAGGGTCAATTTAGGGCGTGTTTTACATGATTTTAAATTTTCGTAGAAACGTTTCAGATCTAGATTCTCTTTAAAAAATATTTCTCTGATGATTAGAAGGTTAGAACACTTCATAGAATTATTTGGTTAGCTTGCCGAATTCGTAAAATTAGAGCTGGAATCAGGAGAAACTAGGTTTCGTGTTTCTCAAGACTAGTTCAAAAATAAGAACCAGTTTCAAATGATTCTCTTTGAAATGTTTTCTCTTTGTGGCGTTTGACTGAGAATTTGAAATGTTTCTCGCTGACAAACACATCCTTAATGGGAGAGCAAGGTAGCATTGGAGAGCCAGGTAGCAAGGATAAATCCATTCTAATTCTAGGGATAGGATGATTCTACGTCTGTCTTTTGTTGCAAGGATGGAACTGTTGCATTTCGTTATTTAGTTGGTGGAACAAAGATGGATGAGATAAAATCCAGTAGCCACCATTGTGTGGGGGGCACATGTTAGTGCATAAACTTTCTTACTAGATCCATTACTCCATTAGTGCATAAACTTTGTGAAACAATTTTATGTTACTAGATCCGTATTTAATAATAAATTGTTATATTGACCTAATAAAATGAAATATGCCTAGTAATTACCAAAGTGGGGACAATACTTCCACTACTACACAAAAATGATTTTAGGAGGTAACCTTTTTATTTACTGAGGCGAGCAAAAAGTATATTCATTTTCCAAACTACCTAGCGATTTTAAGAGCCAATCGCTCCATTCTTGGAGACAGCCAACACCGTATCTAAAAATCCCAGTTCCCAGGTCCGGGCCCACTCTCTCACATGTAGATCTAGCCCCCTAATCTGTCGCCTCATTAACTCATTCCTCATTCTAATGCCTCCTCCTGATCGCTTCCTCCTCCAATCATGGCAACCACGGTGAGGCAAAGCCGCCGGGATGTGTCGCCTCTCTATTGCTTCCTTACCATAATGGTCATGGAGTGGCATAGGTCGGGGTGCACCACCTCCTCGTCACCCCCTTCTCTAACCATGATAGCTAGGCCTGGATCTACCCCCTCCCCCTTCGCTCCCTTGTCTGACCATGGTGGCACGATATGAAGTGGGTTGGGATACACCGCCTCCCCGTCATTCCCTACTCTGACCATGAGGGCCATGTAGTGGGGTAGGCCATGATCTACCACTTCTCTATCGTTCCATCTGACCATGGCGGCCACGCAAGAGGTAAATCCTGGTCGCATGCCATGGTGGCGTGACCCTCAATCAAGTGTTTCTCCATGGCATGTTCCTCTGTTGTGCGCATGTCCATGGCGGGCCCCTCAGACAACCGATGCGGTGGACGAACACATCATCTCTGTGGGCAGCGGATCTAACGAGAAAGAGGCCCAATCTGGTGTGGAGGAGTTCGGATCCAGTGGGCTCGGATCTTGGCAGGGCTGGTTCTTTTTATTTTAAGTTGATTTATAGAGGTGAGCCAAAGTTGCTAACTCCAAAAATCCCTGTTGATAGATACCTCAAGGTAGAGGCTTCCGAGCCACCTCTAAAAACCACTTTTGCCCATCTCTGAATTTGAATAATGTAGTGTGCTCAACCTTTAGATTGTTTAACTGCATCAAGACTGGCAAAAATGACTTGTGACTTCTTTTGAAACAAAGCACAGACGTAGACACTCTAATACATGCATGCACACTCACTTCCTTGAAATGCATGGGATGACCTATAAAACTGCTAACGCGTAACAATGTACTTCTACTTGTCTGGATAACTTTGTACTTGGTGGATAGCAGTATGGACAAATCAAATCCACCACGCCTCCGTGGTTTCGTCAAACGCACTTTAGCGTTTCCTGCTACTTGGCGTCAATAGTGGACGGCTACTGAACGGAACAATAAAAAGAAACGGAAAACAAAACCAAACAAATACAACAGACGTCCGAAACGAAAAAACAGAAAAGAAAAAAAAGGAAAAACGCCGGGCGGCCGCAGAAGTGGAAACGAAACGGACGATCGGTCCAAAAAATAAGCACGGGCAAAATAAAATAAAAAGGAAACAAATAAAAAAAACTCTCCACGATCTATCTATATATATACCTTATAATCATCACTTATAAGTTTTATAATCTATGACATGTGGACCCCCCAACACACACAGGTCTTCTCTCTCGAGTCGCCCCCGCATCTGTCTCTCTGGAGCACGCGCCCACGCCACGGACCCGTGCTTGAGTCCACAATCTCTACTCTCTCTGTCAACCTAATACTAAAGAGCGATGGTTTTTCTATTCTTAAAATAACCCTATCGACGTAGGTACTCCCACGCCCATGTACGATTTGTTTCTGCCGCGCATTCTCCGTCCGCTCTTCTGTCAAACTTTTTTGGCCAATTAGAGAGTAGAGATTTACTTTCGAAACTGTCCTCGTGCCCATCTGATCACGTATATGACCTGGAATCATGACTCATGCATAGTACAAAAGTTAAGCAAAACTCAAATTCAACGGTGATATGTATTGGGTTTCGTGCAACTTTTTTTAGGTTCTTTTTCCCACATCCGATTGGGTTGCATCTGTCGTACCTATTGGTTTTTTCATCCTTTTTTCTTTTTTATCATATAAATATTAAAAAACAAATAATAGATATAATAATATTATAAGAAGTTGAAATTCTCTTCCTTAAAATAGAAATTTACACCACTAAAGTTATTGATGCAATTTTGATTAGAAACAAAGTTACTCCCTCTGTCCCGCTATAATTATCGTTTTAGCTTGCTCCATGGTGTCGGGTTCATAAACCCGGGGTCCCTCATGGACCGTCTTCCCAATAAAGGCTCGACCCAACAGACAACGTTGCGAGCAACGCGCAACTCATGGGCCAACCCAAATACCTAGACGATAGGCCAGAAGGACGATCCAATCTCCGATCGGAAGGACTGGTCGAGGAGGAACGACGTCCGCTTCTGACTCCGGCCCACCTGTCCGACCGGAGCACTCGTTTCGGTCTTCAGCCCGCCTCCGGACGGCCTCTCCGACCGGAAGGTCTGGCCAAACACCACTTTCGACTCCGACCCGCTTCTCCGACCGGGGATGCGCCGAACCCCTGATTACAACTCCTCTTCAACTAGCGCAATCAGAGCCGACTGGGACCAACCGACTGGGGACGTCCGCTCGGTAAGGACCAGAAACGGACGGAGAAAGTAAGGCAGCGCACTCAAGTCAACCGCAATATCAAGGATCGTACCCTGTACACCTACAGGACAGTACCCTGCGACCTCCCTGGCATGACAGAACGCAAGCAATGTTGTAGGCGTCGACATTTCCCCCTACAGTGTTGTGGGCGCCATCAACTCCCATACCAGACAAATAGGGTAACGCTCCCCCCACGTGCCTCTAAGGCATTGATAGTGTTGTGGGCGTCGGCATTTACCGTGCCAGGCGAACATGATAAAACCCCCTGCATGCCTCTCGGCATCAACAGTATAGCAGGTACCGACATCCGCCATAGCTGAAGAAGACGACGCAACCTCCCACGTGCATCTGACATTCAACAGTATTGTGGGCGCCTACCATCATCTTGTACCCGCCGGCGTGGGCAGCAAGACTTAGCAGCAAACGTACTCTCTCCCTCTCACTTGTAAGGCCATCCTCTTCATCTATAAAAGGGGATACGCTCTCTTCCAACAGATAAGTTGATTCAGATCGATCAAGTTCACTAGTACACAACAACAGGACCACCAGGTTTAAACTTCGAGCACACGCTCGAGCACATAGCGCATAGCGGAGTTCCCGTCACTCTCGGTCCCTCTGACCAGAGTCCGACCGGACCTCTTGTACTCCCCATCTTTCTCCGTCTCGTTTGTAACCCCACTGCAAACTTCGAGCACCTGGGCTCAGGAATAAAGTCACCGACCGACTCAAACCGGACGTAGGGCACGTTGCCTGAACCAGTATAAACCCTGTGTCATTGAGTGCTAGGCCACCTCCGATCACAACGTACGGCAAAACTATAAATATTTACGTGTTGGTCACTTTCTGCACCGACAGTTGGCGCCGTCCGTGGGGAAGACGTTGTACGTTCAACACTTTTAGTCATCGGATGACCCACTTTTCCGCCACCTTCGCCATGGCGGGCTCAAACGATACCACTCGCTACGGCTCACTGGAGTTTCCCGCACTCCCACCTATTGGGATGTGGGTTCCACCTGTCTTCGAGCCATCCTAGGCCTTCCTCTTTGGAAGCCTGGACTTCATCGTCGTCCGGCTTGGCGTACTACACCTCCACGAGGAGGCACTCGTTCTGGCGCCCGTCGGAGGGGCGCCCTCCATCGGCTTTGAGACGCACGACGACTTCAACGACGAGGCATCTGTGCTTCATTCCGAGCAAACTCTCTGCTCAGACTCCGCTGTGAGTAACGTACATACCGTTATTTACTCTCTATTTACTATCTTCCGCCGATTATCCAGAGGGACAATTTTTTCCGCACCGCAAATACCGTACGACCGGTTCCCCTACGGCCTCGCATCCCCCGCGGACGCGTGCGCTCGGGGGCTCCGAGGGACGCCGGTG